AAAAAAAAAAAAAAAAAAAAAGGGCAACAGTGTCAAATAATCCAGAGGGGTTGGTTATGATGAAGGATTATGGACTGCTTTTTTGTTTGTTTTTTTGAGCTGGAGTCTCACTCCATTGCCCAGGCTGGAGTGCAGTGGCATGCTCACGACCACCCCAGCATTGACCTGCTGGGCTCCAACAATCCTTCCACTTCAGCCATCCAAGTAGCCAGAACTACAGGCACATGCTACCATGCCCAGCTAATTTTGGATTTATTGCAGAGACGAGGTCTCTCCAAGTTGCCCGGGCTGGTCTCAAACCCACATGCTCAGACAATTCACTCTCCTCGGCCTCCCAAAGTGCTGGGATTACAGACTGAGCCATGGAGCCCGGCCTAGACTGCTTTTAAGAAGTTTTGTTGTGAATTGGAGGAAGATCAGAGATTAAGGTCAAGTGAAGGGAGAAATGTGTTCTAGTATTGTAGGAATTGGTAGGAATGACATAGTAGAAAGAGATCTGTAGGGCAAGTTGTAGAGATGAAACAACCAGAAGCAAAGTAGTGAAGGAGGGCCAGTATGCAAGGGCTTAAGAACAGGACTGGGAGAACTACTCCTTAAAGGGAAGAGGGATATTTCTTTCATTTTCATTTCTCTCCCCAGTTAGAGTCTCACTCAGTCACTCAGGCTGGAGTGCAGTGACACGCTCACAGCTCACTGCAGCCTCAACCTCCCGGGCTCAGGCGATCTTTCTGCCTCAGCCTACCGAGCAGCTGACTACAAGCATGAGTGACCATGCCCAGCTGTTTTTTTCCCTTCATTTTTGTAGAGATGAGGTCTTGCTATGTTGCCCAGGCTAGTATTAAACTCCTGTACCCAGGCAATCGTCCCACCCTGACTTCCCAAAGTACTGGAATTACAGGCATGGATAGAGCCACTTTGCCCCTCATTTCTTTCATTTTCAAAGGAACATAAACAGCCCAAATGGTGCAGAAGCAGAGAAGTTTGAAATTTTGATGAATAGCAACTTGAGAGCACTTCTTATGGATTCCGTGTTTTCTGTTCAGTGTAAGACTTAACATTGGGTCTGGTGGAGAAGGGATTGGGCAGTCTGAAGTAAGTAGGGAGCTTGGAAGGTTTGTCTCAGAGAGAGGAACAGCACACCTCCTGAGGAAATGTAATGGGATTTCCAGGCACAGTTGAATTACCCTCTGAGACTTGTGATCACACATTTTACATGAAACTGATTAACCCAAATGCAGATGCCTGCTGTCTAGTTTATCCAGCTGCTCGAAGGCTGACATGGAAAAGGTGGATGTTTGGGGTCAGTCAGATTGGGATTTTGCCAGACAAGAAAAGGAGAGAGGGAGTGAAACACAGGAGTTGAGAATTTGCAAAGTTCCATGGAATCTGTGCTGGGTTAGGAGGGAAGTCAAGACACGAGTGTGCCAAGGATAGGGACAAAGTGGATCTGTGAAGGGATTAGAAGCTTCATGATGACAAAGCTATGTGGCAATAAGGATTTTGGAGTAGGTGAGCTGTAGCTGGAGAAAGGGAGGCTCAAAGTTGGGATTTCCAGGGATGACAAGGTCTGTGATGTACCCACTGGCCAGACAGCTGAGGATAAGTGGAAAAACTCACCAGGCTCAAGTTACTGGGAAGCCAGGAAGTTGCTAAGAATTAGGGGATTTTTTTTATTTTGTTATTTAAAAAAATTTCCATTAGGCAGCAAAAGATCAATGCAGGCCTTTCAGTGGTATCTTTATTTGCAGCTGCGAAGTGTCTGCTGTCCTATTTTATTTTAGTTTATTTTTTTAAGTCAGAGTGTCACTCTGATGCCCAGGACGGAGTGCAGTGGCAATGATCACGGCTCACCGCAGCCTCCAACTCCTGGGCTCAGGTGATCCTTCCACCTCAGCCTCCCTAGTAGATGGGACTACAGGTGTGCACACCACACCTGGCTTATTTTTTAATTTTTTTAGAGACAAGGTCTTACTATGTTACCCAGGCTGGTCTCGAACTCCTGGGCTCAAGTGATCCTCCTGCCTTGGCCTCCCAAAGTGCTGGGATTACAGGCATGAACCACTGTGCCCAACCTGCCATCCTATTTTTTGACATTCATTTATTGATTCATTCATTTATTTAAACAACAGAAAATTATTTCTCCAACATGACAGTGCCTGCAGATTCAGTTTCTGGTGAGATTCAACTTCTTGCTGTGTCCTTCCAGGATCTCACTCTGTCACTCAAGCTGGAGTGTAGTGGTGAAATCACAGTTTACTCTAACCTTGAATTCCTGGGCTCAAGCAATCTGGTTGCCTCAGCATCTCACATAGCTAAGACTACAGGCACATACCCCCATGCTCAGCTAATTTTTTTTTTTTTTTTTTTTTTCAGAAATGGGGCCTCATTATGTTGCCCAGGCTGGTCTCAACTCTGGGCTTCACACCCTCCCACTTTGGCCTCCCAAAGAATTATAAGCATGAACCACTGCATCTGGCCTAACCAAGTTTTTTTTTAAGTTGGAGTCTCACTCTGTCTCTCAGGCTGGAGTGCAGTGGCATGCTCATGGCCACCCCAGTATCGACTCACTGGGCTCAGGGATCCTTCTGCCTCATCCTTCCAAGTGACTGGAACTACAGGCGCGCACTACCGTGTCCTGCTAATTTTTTGATATGTTGTAGAGACGAGGTCTCACCAAGTAGCCCGGGCTGGTGTCGAATTCCTGGACTCAGACAATCTTCTTGCCTCAGCCTCTCAAAATGCTGGGATTACAGGTTTGAGCCACCACACCCAGCCCTAACCAAGTTTTTAATCAACAACTGACTTAATTGTTTTTTCCCACTGGTCTGATCAGTAGATGACTACATTACTGATCAATTGAGTCAATTCATTTGAGCAAGTGATGCTTGTAGACTCAATCACTATCCCAGGTGATTCAGATCCTAGTCTGCATTTTAGCATAGCCATAGTCTGTGTTCAAAATAAGGAGACCATTCAAGACGGACTGATGTGTTGAAGCTTTAGCTTGAGGATTTCTATGAAAAAAGCCCTTCTTTGTGCAGTTGAAAAGCAAGTGCTCTATTTGGCATGTGGCAACATCCCAATAAACCCATCATAACTTGAAAATATAAGTCAAGAGTGCACCTAACACCCAGAACATTGTAGCTTATCCCAACCTACCTTAAACATGCTCAGAACACTTACCTTAGCCTACAGTTGGGCAAAATCGTCTAACACAAGCACTGTTTTATAATAAAGTGTGACTATCTCATGTGATTTGTTGAATACTGTACTGAAAATGAAGAACAGAACGGTTGTTTGGGTACTTAAAGTATGATTTCTACTGAATACATATCACTTTTGTACCATCATAAAGTAAAAGATCATAAGTTGAACCATCCTAAGTTGGGGACCATCTGTATGCCGTAACTTTTATTTGTGAGTGTAATTGTTCTGGGTGTACTTTCAGGGATGGCCTATGCTCTACTAGCTGCAGTTCCTATTGGATATGGTCTCTACTCTGCATTTTTTCCTATCCTGACATATTTTATCTTTGGAACATCAAGACATATCTCAGTTGGTAAGTATAAGCATATTTTATAATTATATTTGTTCATGCTTAGTGTTTAACTATATTTTGTGCATTATGCTTCTATATCTTTGTTAATAATTTTCAGGGAAATGGGACTTTAGTGCTTACTTTTCCTATTCAATGATGTGAGTTAGCTTTATGCATAAATTCTTTAATGAAGAGAAGAAAATGGAAAGACTGAAAATTGGGTTGGACTCGGTGGCTCAGCCTGTAATCCCAGCACTTTGGGAGGCCGAGGCGAGTGGATTGCCTGAGTCTGAGGGTTTGAGACCAGTCCAGGCAACTTGGTGAGCCATTGTCTCTACAATAAATCAAAAATTAGCTGGGCGTGGTAGCGTGTGCCTGTAGTCCCAGCTACTTGGAAGGCTGAGGTGGAAGGATCGCCAGAGCCCAGCAAGATGGATGCTGGGGTGACGTAGAGCATGCCACTGCACTCCAGCCTGGGCGACAAAGTGAGACACCAACTCAAAAAGGAAGGAAAGACTGAAAATTATAACCTATCTGCAAAATCTACCATGTTTCCATTTTAAAAAATGTAATAAATTTGACTCCATATTTAGAAAGTGTTCTCTTCAAGAATATAAAATGAAAGGAAAAAAATCTCACAAGATCTTTGAACCTACCAGTTTACCAGATTAACTTAGCATTCACTGAATTATATTCATCAAATACATATTTATTACTTCATTAAATATCATACTTATTTTGAGTCATACTTATTTTGAAGACTGGCAAAATCTTGCCAAAACAATTTAGAAGCTCAACTTGGCTTTCTTTCTTGGTATGGTTTATAAAAAGTTTTCCTGCCATTTCTAAAATTTGGATTCTCTTTTGCTAGGATGTTCTAGTAAATGGATGTTTTACTGCTATTTTGTGACTTTGACATTTATGCTAGGAATAATTTTGTACATCCATCTGCTGGCTAGACACATCTACCTAGATTATCCTTTTGAAACAAATACAACCCTCTACTCTATCCCCAACGCATGTCCTTATCCTTAGTTGTAATTCCTCCAGTGTCTATCGTATTGTCTTGTCTAGAGAAGGAGACCAGAAGGACATTATTGATTGAAAGAACTTCTCATTTTGGAGAATGCATTAGTATAGAATGCTTGGTGAGATGAGGGACATGGGCTATACATTTAGATACTCCAGGTGACTGGGTTTGGGTTTTGAGTCTTCCTGACCATAAACCCTTTTATGATCAAAGGATAGGATCATCATTATCATCATGGATAAAAATATCAGCAGTGAAGGAAACAGTTGCTGAGAGAAAAAAGGACTTTTTAAAAACATAGACTCTTACAGATTGGCATTTGATAGGAAAAAGTTACTTGTATTGCAAACAGGAAAAAAACAAATACTCCTTTTGCTATTTCTTTATCCTAATTTGAATCCCGTGATATTGATCAAGGGACTCAGATCCACAGAGATCAGGACATTATACACTCTAGGAAATCAATGATATTATATGGAATAAAAATGGAAACAAGTAAGAACTCAATTTATTTTATTTTATTTATTTATTTTTTATTTTTGAGTCAGAGTCTCACTCTATCACAAGGCTACAGTGCACTGGTATGCTCATAGCTACCACAGCTTCAACCTGCTGGGCTCAGGTGATCCTTCCACCTCATCCTTCCAAGCAGCTGGAACTATAGGCTTAAACCACCATGCCTGGCTAATTTTTAAAATGTTTTTATAGAGGTGAGGGCTTGCCTAGTTGCCTAGGCTGGTCTTGAACCTCTGGGCTCAGGCAATCCTCTCACCTCTGCCTCCCAAAATGCTGGGATTACAGGTATGAGCCACCACACCCAGCAGAACTCAATTTATATGCTACCTCTGCCAGGAAACCTTTCCTGACAACTCTCATCCCTGCGTCTGCACCCCATACACATGAGGATCATGCACAGATAGGTTAGATGTCCTTCCTATGTACCCATGAAGCATCCTAAATGCTGTGTTACATCTCCCTACTTACAAGTCCCTCTCACTCATTTCTGGGTCATGAATGCCCTGAGACATCTGCTTTTAGCTTCTTTTATAAACAAGCCATATTTTCCTAGTCACAGCTAATTATTTTATACATCTTTCAAATCCTATGTAGACACACCAACATTTCTAATTAATAACTGATTAATTGTTAGAGACTTTTTTCCCCAGGACCTTTTCCAGTGGTCAGTTTAATGGTGGGATCTGTTGTTCTGAGCATGGCCCCCGACGAGCACTTTCTCATATCCAGCAGTAATGGCACTGCATTAAATACTACCGTGGTAGACGCCACAGCTAGAGACACAGCAAGAGTGTTGATTGCGAGCACCCTTACTCTCTTGGTTGGAATCATACAGGTAATGGACTTACAAGTAAAATATAGATTGGTGTCAATTTTATTTGAAATTAACTTTAAAGCATGTAGACTTCAAGACTCTTCTAAAAGCAAAACGAAGTACTTTCCTGGAACCCAAAGTTATTTTCTAAATTGCATTGTTTTAGGTCAGAGGCTAAAATAGTCAGCAAGACCCCACTTATTAAGGCTCTCTTATCATCAAAGTCAGAGACAGAAAAAAAGCACAGAAGAACATGTGTGATTCAATTGAGGATTCATATAAAGGAGAAAAAAGTGTTCTGGTGAGCGGAGTCATGGGCTGAAAGTCACAGAAATAATTTACACAATTCTTGCTTTTCTTAGTACATATATAGAAGTGCTTCAAAGTTTTTATTATGCAACATGGTGTTTGGATTTTAGCATGGTGGAGGGGAGGGGAGAGATAGAGCATTAAGAAATTCAAATTTGTTCTCTACAAGTATCTTTGTGCTACAGTCAGGCTACCAGTGTTTTAATTGGTGTTAAGTTTAATTTGTTAATATTTCCAGAGAGTTGGTTTTTTCTCTCAGGCAAACATTTAATTTTTCCTTCCTTCTTATCCCAGTTGATATTTGGAGGTTTGCAGATTGGATTCATTGTGAGGTACTTGGCAGATCCCTTGGTTGGCGGATTCACAACAGCTGCTGCCTTCCAAGTACTGGTCTCACAGCTAAAGATTGTGCTGAACGTTTCAACCAAAAATTATAATGGAGTTCTCTCCATTATCTATGTAAGTGTTGCTTCTTTCTCTAGGGATGGGTCACTGTTCATTCCAGAAAAAAATAGATTCATTCTCTCTTTAACGGGAGCTTGGAGAACCTACATTCCTCTAGGAATACCTTGGGGGCTGTTGAAAATGTTTTGTTACTTCTTTTTCTTTTTTTTTTGAGTTGTAGTCTCACTCTGTTGCCCAGGCTGGAATGCAGTGGCACACTCACGACCACCCCAGTGTCGACCTGCTGGGCTCTGGCAATCCTTCCACCTCAGCCTTCCAAGTAGCCGGAACTACAGGTGCGGCTACCACGCCTGGCTAATTTTTTGATTTATTGTACAGACGAGGTCTCGCCACGTTCCCCGGGCTGGTCTTGAACCCACGGGCTCAGGCAATCTACTCGCCTTGGCCTCCCAAACTACTGGGATTACAGGGTGAGCCATCGAGCCAGCCTTGTAACTTCTTTAAGAAATATTAGCGAACTTAAAAACATGAATGAAAACAAAGTAGTATAATGAAGTAAAGAGTGATCTGGAAAGCAATAGAATTGAGTTCTAGTCTCAGCTCAGTCTCTGAGATACCAAGTGACCTTGGCCATATCATGTATGGGAATAAAAGCTCAGGTTTAAAGCTGGATGGACCGAGATTCAGATTCTGACTCTGCTGCCTACTAACCGTGTGAACAAATCACCATGCCTCAGTTTTCTTCCCTGCAAAATTGGGTTAGTAATAGCAATAACTAATTAGTTAGTAATAGTATCTACCTCAATAGACTGTTAAGAATAGATGAGAAGCACATGGCACAGAACAAGTATTCCAAATAACAAAGTTATTTTGAAATTATTATTTCGAGGCATCTTTCTTATTGGTAAAACAAAATGTTTGGAGATGTATCACCAAAGCCCTTTCTAACCATGAAAGTCTACAAAACACATAATGTCTGTGTCTCAGCAATTATAGATTAAAAGGAACATTAGATTCAGAGATGATTCAACATGCAAAAGAGATGTAAAAGCAGGATGTAGATCACACTAATTAGATTTGAAAAAGATCTTGGATCTAAATATATGTTCTGTATAAAGTATGTTGGTACTTGAAAAATGGTGATAATAGTAACATTATATTATCCTAGCTTGTGGGGAATGACATTAAGAACGGAATTTGAGACCTTTAAGGACACACCTATTAGCTTCTAAAACATTATAAGACCATGAGTACACATTTAGGAATTAGTGAGATTGTCAAGAATTTGCTCAGTTTTATAATAGTGGCATAATCCCACACTACTCCATCCATTCAACAAATATTACCAAGTGTTTATGACAGGCCAGGTACTCTGCTAAACAGTGGGAATAGACAGAGGAGGCAGAGTAATATAGTGATTGAGATCATGGACTTTGAACTTCAATAGACTTGAATTGGGGTCTTAGTTCTACTACCTACTACTCAAGTAATCTTGGGCATGTTATTCTTTTTTTTTTTTTTTTTTTTGAGTTGGAGTCTCACTCTGTAGCCCAGGTTTGAATACAGTGGCACACTCACGACCACCCCAGCTTTGACCTGCTGGGCTCTAGTGATCCTTCTACCTCAACCTTCCAAGTAACCTGGAAATACAGGTGTGCTACCACACCTGGCTAATTTTTTTTGTTTATTATAGAGATGAGGTCTCACCAAATTGCCCAGGCTGGTCTCAAACCTGTAGGCTCAGGCAATCCACTTGCATTGGCCTCCCAAAGTGCTGGGATTACAGACTGAGCCACTGAACCCAGCCTTATTATTCTTAATTTCCCTAAACCTCAGTATCCTCAATTTGTAGAATGGGGGTAGTAACAATAATAGGTACCACTTAGAGTTGTGAGTATTAAAAAAGAAAATTTATGTAAAGCACTTAGCACAATATTTAGCATAGATTAAGAACTGAGTTCATTATTATTATGTTTTGCTGTCACGGGTGGCCAGACCTCACAGAGCTTACTGTTCACTACCTAGAGGCCCAGTCTGTGAGAAGATATATCACAGGGTGTTTTTGATTCAGCATTATTTTGGTCATTCGTGTTTGTTTGTTTTTCCTGCCAAGTCCTTGGTTCTCTTTGAGACCTCCTGGCTGCCTTGTTATGACAAGTCCTGTTGCTTTTGCAGTCCTGGACACATTTTGCTTTTACTTGCTTTCACTATCAACTGTTCATTCATTTATTCCTTTATTTTCATTCCTTCAATTTATTCAATAAGCATTTATTGAATACCCACCATGCACTTTTCACTCCCTAAACAAACCCACTGACTCCTGAACTCACCAAGTCATTCCTTACTGAGTGTACTCACCTCCTGGTGTGAACATTGCTAGGTCTATGTCTCCAAAGACCATGGAAGCCCTAGGCCAATGGAGCTGGGTCCCTGGCCATTGCTGAACCTCTGTAGATGAGAGGAATCGTAGTTCTTCTGGCTAGGATTGTGTCTAGGAAGAAACTTTTTGCACAAGATTGCACTTTTGACAGGGACAAAAATGACCAGAAAACACTAGACCAAAGCCAAAAATAGCCTTTAAAACAAATAGAAGCATTACATGACTTATTTCCTGTTGAATATTTTTCTTGATGTCTCAGTTTAGCATGTGTCATAGAATTTTGCAAGAAATTCCTCACAGACTAGCCAAGTTGCATGAAGGAATTTCATTCATCCCTATGTGGTGGTGAATACAGGCTTGCTCTTCTGAAAAGGAAGAATCAACAGGTCTGGAGATAATGGCATACGTGTTGAATAAGATACCTAGTCCCTGAACAGAGAATTTTGCTTATGGCATTACCATTACAATAATTCATGAAAGAATCCTTCAATAAATGCGGAGTAGTAGTGTAGCCTTCCATAAAAATCTGTAAGATTGTTGTAAAATAGTTTGCCTGGAATGTTGTTCACATCCTTTTTGTTCTTAGGTTGTAGGTACTCTGGTTTGTTATGCCCTCTCCCCCAAAGAAGTACTGACAATTGGAAATAGCAAATACAAAGAATTGGAGGATAAAATATTAGGAAAAAACCCTTTAATTCACAAATGTCTGAGATGCTGGATAAAGGATGCAGAAGCCAGGCAGAGTGTTGATAACAATTTGGAATTAGTAACATTCTTGTAACATGTAGCATCTCAGGTGCCTTAGTGAATCCCACAATCCACTTAAGAGTGATTGTTTTCCCACCATTCGCTTTGAATGGTTTCTCTCAGCAGAGAAGGGTGAGAGGCTTGAAAGGTACCGCTAAACTTGATTAGATTTCTTACTTTGAACCTATTTTAGTGTATTAAACTTACTCCATGTTAATAAAATAACACTTTAAGGATTGATCTATACATATTCGCATGGAAAGTCTGAGGGCAGGAAATGCTTGGCAGCAAGGGGTGATTATGAAGAGTTTGTTATATTCATGGTGAAAAAGTAAATGAAAAATTCAGCTCCAAAAGTAAGCCAACAAATTTTCTTTAACACAATAATTGGCATAATTTTCCCTTATGGCATCATACACCCAGCTAATGCTGGGCAAAAACAAAGAAATTATTTAAATGAAATGATCCTAAAATTCTCCATACATGGTAGGAAATATAGTAAAATATTATTCATCACTGATTTGAACTATTTTGACTACTAGGCTAAAGTACAGAATCATATGTATATCCATATTGCAAACATATTTTAGTAAGTATTTTACAGTGAAATGTTTAGAAATACGGTTCAGTGCTTTCTTAGAGTTTGGTTTTTACATGTCTGAGTGCAATGTGATTATTTCAGTTTATATGGGTGAATTTTATTTCTACACAGATTAAACTACTGTAGACTTTTTCATAAGGAAGCCTGAATGATTACTTGGATACATACTCATTTGCCTTGCATGATGCAATTGTGTAATAGAAACTGGTTTTGTTTTTGCAGCTCATATTGCATTTTTAACACAGAAGTGCTTTTTATTCATATCTAAGTAATTCTCATAGATTAAATGGGAATCCTGTCATGATTATTTTTGTAAGATGAAAATATTTTTGTGATGGGGATAATTATTCCAAATGTTTTGTTTTTTAAGTTTCAATTTTGTAAAATCTTGATTTGAAAAGTAAACCTTTACTGAATAGGCAATTCATCAAAATATTGCACCTAGATAATGAATTAATGAGGGTCATCACTGGAATATTAATTACATAACAGGCCAATCGGCAATGATAACCTTCACACTTTTAAGGTAGGCCGGACTGTTAAATGGCCTAAGATTTTGTTATTATAACTGCTTGTAGTAGTTTTCTCATTTTCTTTTTCACCCTGCTGTCAGCTGCTTCATCTTGTTGCAGTTAGTGAATCTTCCTCTAGCAATTTTCAGTGACTCTGAAAAGCAAAGTAAACTTGTTAGTACTGAGTTTACAGTAAGAGCAAAAATACCCTCTGAATGAAAGTTCTAGAACCTTCCTATAAGTTAAATGCCTGAACTCTAGTCCAAGTGCTTGGTGGAAGGTATTTGCTTGTACAATAACTCTTCCCATTCTCTTACTCTTGAATGTGTTCCAGAGAGTTGAGGTTGCTGACAAGATGACTCCTAGGTCACCTAAAGTTCATTATACATATCACCAGATTGTCATTATAATTATTTTAAGAATAGTTCATCTGTAAAAATAAGTAAAAAACATGTTATAAATTATGAGATACTCCATTCCTTTGTCTTCAAATAAAAAATATCTCTACAAAAAGACTCGTTCAAAGAAAAGTAATCTTCACTGAGAGATTACATGTCTCAGAGAATTGTCTCAAAGATACTTTCTTAAATCATGTCTTTTATAGGACTGAAGTTAATGTAACAAAGATATTAGTGTTCTTCCCTGAGATTCTTCCTTGCTAATTTCCTTTAAAACACCATTGGTTCCCAGAAGCCTCCTGTTTACAAAACAAAACTAGTTTTCATTGCATAGACTTGTTTATCCACTTGGAGAGAGTTACTTTTAAGTTATCTTAGATAAAGTTTGTAAATAAAATTAGGTAAAAAATGTATTTCCAGATATTTATACTTGGCCTATATATATCAGTTAAATAATTTTTTTTGGTCATAAAGAATATATCAACCCACCTGTATTCACATATGAAGTATTCTAGAAGTTTTTTGGTTATTATCTGCATCATTCAGGTTTAGGGAAGAACTTCATCTAAAATACTAGCTAATTGTGACCCCCGCCTCTCCCCAAAAATAACTGGGAGTTTTTGGTTTGTCAGCCTTTAGACTCAGTAAGACCCTACCAACATGGTATAAATTAGACTTCTTAATAGCACCTGTAAACCCACTTTGAGATATAGTCTTTTAAGCTTTTCTGCCAGTAATAGACAGTGTGTATAAAATGACATTTTTTCCTTCTAAAATATCTTCATTTTTATTATAAAAAATACGAAGAAACAGACATAAGAATGTAGGTTAACCAGTTTGACCTCAAGTAAACCATCCTTAAAAACTTGATGTATCTATATTGCAGAGACTACATGTACCTAATGGTCTCTGAATTAACCAACATATTTTGTGATTATATATGAAACTTTCAAATATTGTTTGATAATATTTTTCATGTGGGAAGATTCATTTGAGAATTGAATGTATGTGTGTGTGTGTGTGTGTAGCAGGAAGTATATAAATTTATGTTCTTTTTACAGACTTTGGTTGAGATATTCCAAAATGTTGGTGATACCAATCTTGCTGATTTTATTGCTGGATTACTCACCATTGTCATCTGTATGGCGGTTAAGGAAATAAATGATCGATTTAAACACAAAATTCCAGTCCCTATTCCTATAGAAGTAATTGTGGTAAGTAGAATATACAGCTAGAAAATTCAGCATTAATTAGATTGATAAGCAAGGAGTATTAAACCAGTGGAGTGTATTCTTTTTTTACATTTACTTTTATTTCAGACAATAATTGCTACTGCCATTTCATATGGAGCCAACTTGGAAAAAAATTATAATGCTGGCATTGTTAAATCCATCCCAAGGGGGTGAGTATGGCATTCCTCTTAGACAATGTGAATATATTAAGTCAGTAAGACAGTCCTTTCTAGAAGTCCAGTGCACCACCCATTGCACTATGGAGCCATCAGTCTTTTCTACTTAAATGAAACCTTTAATTACAAGTATCATTTTCTGGTTTCTCCTTCAGTAGTCCTATTTGTATGTTATCTTATAGAAACAAACTCAGACAAATATTTGTGTCTAGATAAAGTTCATATCATTTAAGTTAGCTCCTATATAATCTATTTTTTTCTCTTCACTTTTTTTTTTAATCAGGTCAGGGTCTCACTCTGTTGCCCAGGCTAGAGTGAGGTATCATGATCATGCCTCACTGCTGTCTTGACCTCCTGGGCTCAGGTGATCCTTCCACCTCAGCCTCCCAAGTAGCTGGGAATACAGTTGTGTGCCACATGTCCTGCTAGTTTCTTTCTTTCTTCTTTTTTTTTTTTTTATAAAGACAAGTTCTCACTATGTTGCCCAGCTGGTCTCAAACTTTTGAGCTCAAGCAATTCTCCCACTTTGGCTTTTCAATATGCTGGAATTACAGGTGTGAGCCACCGTGCCCAGTCCTGTCTTTTTTATTCACTTTCTTAAAATGTGGCAGAACATGTACAGCTAATACCAGACTCCTAATTTAAACTTATACATATAAATATAATATAATATAAACAGAATCATGATTTTTTTTTTTTTGAGTCAGAATCTCACTCTGTCACCAAGGCTAGAGTCCAGTAGCATGCTTGTGGCCACCATAGCCTCAAACTGCGGGGCCCAGGTGATCCTTCTCCCTCAGCCTTCCAAATAACTGGAACTACAGGTGCATGCCACCATGCCCAGCAGACTTTCTTTGGTTTATTGTAGAGATGAAGTCTCGCTAAGTTGTGTAGGTTGGTTTTGAACCCAGCTCCATCTATCCTCTCAACTCCACTTACCAAAGTGCTGGAGTTATAGGCATCAGCCACCACACCTGGCAGAATCATGATTTACTTACTGAGCTGTGAACAATCTGGTTAAGGAGTCAGGGACTTCTGACCTGAATTTTCCACCATTTAGTTTAATCAGCCTTAGAGTATAATGATATAATTTGTCCCTATAAACAAAGTGCATTATCTTCAAGGGCAACTTTATAAATGTTTGATTGTTTGGTGAATTAGAAGTGTACAAGACCAAGCCCCTTCATTCATTTCTGCCACTGTCTAGCTTTGTGGTTCTGGGGAGGTTCTCCTGTAAGACAAGAGTAGTGTCAGCAGCCAAAGTCTCAACTCCAGCTTGTGTGAAACACCAATGACATCTTCATGAAATGCACACAGTGGATCGAGTGCCCTAAACTATACTTTTATCACATGAGGTTAAAAAAGAGGCCCATATGCTTACCATATTTGTAACATTAACTTCTGGGATTCAAGACTAGACTAACTGTTAATCATAAGCACTAGTGTCCCCTCCCTCAATAGTAGCTGAGAGACCTTGTACCAGTCTTTGTTCTTCCATGGTTTTCATAGAAGCTCCTCAGGCAAACTTGCTCCTGGGGCTTATTCTGCAGGGGACTGCTGCCTTCCTATTTTATTCATCTTACAATGTCTCCTAGTGTCTGCTCAAAAAATATTTAGAAAATGACAACTAGCTATGCGGGACTTAATTGACATGTTATGCATTATAGTGTCTCTCAAACTTTTTTGTAAGAATCATGAGACATAGATCTCTTAACATAGATTCCTGGGTTCCCAGCCCAAACCTATTGAATCAGACTTTCTGGAGGAGGGTCCTAGGAATTCAGATTTTTTTCAGAAGTACCTCTAGTGATTCTCATGATCAGAGAAATCTGGGAAATTCTGTAAGACAGGATCAACATTTTGATAGTGAATTTTAATGCCGTGAGGAATTTAATGATAAAAGATGCAATGTGGCTACGTGATTTATGGCATTTTCACCCTAACAACTAGATTATTTCAGTAGTTATAAACAATTACAGAAAAATGTATCCTATAGATCCCCTTTGTCAGGATTCCTAATATGTAACAAGTTATATATTAACAGAAAGCCCTGTCCCATAAATCCATGTTCCATTGATTGATTTGGGGAACTCATTTTTGCCCTGAATTATGCTTCCTGGCCCCCTGCAGAGCTTTCCTGGCTGCCCTCCTGAGTTTAACCTAACTGAATCCTTTGACAGATCACCTGGTCAGCTTGGTCAACTAATTTAACCTGCCTGGCCCCAAGGACTCTAAGCCCCTCTATGAGGATAGTGGCCCATTTGTGTTGTTCATTGTTGTCTCCCTAGCACAGTATCCATCTCACAGTTGGTTCTCAGGAAAAATTAGTTGAAAATATCGAAGCCTATGTCATTATTATTATTATTATTATTATTGCTTTGTTTTGAGTCAGAGTCTCACTCTGTTGCCCAGACTGGAGTGCAAAGATGTGATCATGGCTCACCTCAGCCTCAACTGCCTGGACTCAGGCAATCCTTCTGTCTCAGCCTCCCAAGAAGTGGGGCCTACAAGTGCACGTGACCACACCTGGCTAATTTTTTGATTTATTGTGGAGATGAGGTTTTACCATGTTGCCCAGGCTGGTCTCAAACTCCTGGGCTCAGGCAATCCTCTTGCCTGGGTCTCCCAAAGTGCTGGGGTAATAGGCCTGAACCACCCTGTCTGGCCATTGTCATTATAAACAAGCCACAAGGAAGGACTTTGTTATCTGATCTCACTTGGTAGCACAATTCTAAGGATAATAGCAAACCTGAAAAAATAAAGGGTGGCACGGAGAGATTGGGAAAGAGCAAGGAAAGTAGAAGATTAAAGTGGCGGGGGTGGGGTGGGGTGGTGGTGAGCACAATGAAAGAAAGAGGAATAGAGAGACTGTGACATGCTCCCTTTTGATCTCCTCCCCACTTCAGTCCTCCAGTAACTGTCGTTGGCAGCTTCCTTTCATCCTACTGAGGGTCAGGACCAAATGTGAGACTCACTCAGTCTCCAGTAGCAGTGCCTCATAGGACAGCCAGTAACTGTGGTTCTGTGCCTTTCTCTCTGCTCCCTTTCCTGGTAGAAACATACAACTTCTCCTTGTACACATCTGAGTAACCCCTCAGGTCTCACTCATTTTCTCACCAAGGCATTGTCTTTTCTTTTCTTTTTGAGTCGGGGTCTCACTCTGTCACCCAGTCTGGAGTTGCAGTGGCATGATCCTGAGATCACAGCAGCCTTGACCTCCTGGACTAAGGCAATCCTGCCTGAGCCTCTCCAGACTACAGGCGCGCCACTACGCCCAGCTAATTTTTTAATTTTTTGTAGTGACAAGATTTCCTATGTTGCCCAGGCTGGTCTCAAATTCCTGGACTCAAGCAATCCTCCTGCCTTGGCCTCCCAAAGCACTGGGATTACAAGTATGATCCCCACACTGGCCCCAAATTGTTTGCTAAACCAGCAGATGCTAAGAGGGTTGCTCACACCATGACTTTCTTCTCATGCAACTGGTCTTTATTCTGTAGCTTGTAATGTGTTCAGCTCCTCACTTCTCACAGCACAGGCTTCTCTTTTATCTCTTCTGTCATAGTGGGTTTTGTGTGTGTGTATATGTGTGTGTGTGTGTGTGTGTGTGTGTGTGTGTGTGTGTGTGTGTGTGTGTTTAAATCCACAACAAGATGGACTGCTCTGTCCTCTAAATTTTAATCCCTACTCTGACTCTTTCTTGCCTAATCTCTGAACACATTGTGACTGGTCCTTGCCCCACCAGGGCCAGAGGTTCTTTTTGTCATCATATTTGTTACTATTGGTTTTTGTTGTTGTTGTTGTTGCTTTGAGTTGGAGTCTCACTCTGTTGCCCAGACCACAGCCTTGACCTGCTGGGCTCCAGCGATCCTTCCACCTCAGCCTTCCAAGTGGCTGGAACTACAGGCGTGCGCTACCACACCCGGCTGATTTTTTGATTTATTGTAGAGATGAGGTCTCGCTTCCCAGGCGGGTCTCGAACCTGTGGGCTCAGGCAATCCACTCACCTCAGCCTCCCAAGGTGCGGGATTATAGGCTGAGCCACCGAGCCTGGCTGTTACTATTGTTTTAAAAGAGATATGCCATTTGGAGTTAATTTTTGTGTATGGGGATAGATAGAAATGGCTCAGCCTGTAATCCCGTGTCTTGGAAGGCTGAGGTGAGTGGATTGCCTGAACCCGCAGGTTCGTGACCCGAGGCGGGGTGGGGGGATTAATGGTAGTAAATATCTGGGGACGGGTAAACACCTCTTATCAACAAGGGTGCCTGTACTTGTATACCTAACCCTTAACTGTACCCCTCAATATCATAATAAAAAATATTGATTATAAAAGAAAAAAAAAAAGAGATGTGCCTTGCAGTTGTATTTAAAAGTGTAGTACAGGGGAGAACAACAGAGTGGAGGCCAACAAAATCACAGAGAATTTTTCCTGGTTAATTTCTTTCTCTCTCTTTTTTTTTTTGGGGGGGTGAGAGTCTCACTCTGCCACCCAAGCTGGAGTGCAGTGGCATGCTTATGGCGCACAGCAGCCTCAACCTCCTGGGTTCAGGGTATCCTTCCACCTCAGCCTCCCAAGTGGTTGGGGCTGCAGGCACCCTCCACCGTGTCCAGCTAATGTTTTGACAATGTCTCGCTGTGTTGCCCAGGCTGGTCTCAAACTCCTGGGCTCAAGCAATCCTCCCACCTCAGCCTCCCTAAGCACTGGGATTACAGGCATAAACCACCACACAAGGTTTGTTTCCTGGCTACTTTCTGAAGGCTGCTATTCTCTTCTAACTGGAGTGATGGTGTATTTGCTGGATGTTCAGGTCCAATATCATGAGAATCATGCCTGACTCGCTTTGATGGGTGTTTGGCCCTTCAGGATTCACCTCTCCCTGTATTCATCTTTCCGGGTCAGTGTGTGTTCACACATGCACTCCCCTTGGGCTCTTGGTAGTGCTATCCAATTAACAGACCTGACTAACTGGATGGGCATAAAATGTGGAAAGAGTTAGGTTCATAGAAGGATGCTGGAAGAAAGACTTACTTACAGGTCATTAGAAGATGTCCAGTAGGACCTCAATTGGCTTGGGCCACATTATTGGCACCTTAAGGTCCAGCAAGACAATACAAATGGATGACGGGAATACGGCAGACTTAGGTTCTCCAAACATGTGCTGGGCACCTACTATATGTATAAGTGCTAATTACTTACACAAGTAATACCTCATTTATGCCCATGAAATGAGTATATAGTCCCTATTTGACAGCTGAGGAAACTGGGACTTGCTAGGTTTAAATAGCATGCGCAAAGTTACTTATGGAGTGATTCTGGTCCTTTGACCTCAAGACTTTGCACTTACAGTTTGTAACCCCAGAACAGGTAATATTTGGAGAACTAGGCAGCCAGGCAGGCCATGGGCATTAGGCTGCTATCAACACTAAGCCTTTTGCAGGACTGGACATTTATCCTGACAAGTTTCAGTTATCTGAAGGAGGGTTGACTGGGTCTCAGGAATGTGTTAGGAGCCTGACTTTAAGAAGTGTGGTCCAGGCTAGGCCTGGTGGCTCAGTCTGTAATCCCAGCACTTTGGGAGGCCAAGAGGAGTGGATTGCCTGAACCTGCTGGTTCGAAACCAGCCCGGACAACTTGGCGAGACCTTGTCTCTACAATAAATCAAAAATTAGCTGGGTGTGGTAGCATGTGCCTATAGTTCCAGCTACTTGGAAGGCTGAGGTGGAAGGATCACCTGAGCCTAGCAGGTCAATGCTGGGGTGGCCATGAGCGTGCATGCCACTGTACTCCAGCCTGAGTGACTGAGTGAGACTCCAACTCAAAAAAAAAAAAAAAAAAATAGAAGTGTGGTCCAAAGTCACATCCAAACTAGGAGGGAGTGTGATGCTGAGTTACTCAAGTACCGGATTAGGGCTTCTAACATCCTGTCTGCCTGCAGATGGGGTTCATTCCAGACCCTACTTGTAGGGTAGAAAGGGAAATGAGAAAAGGAGTCTGAATATGAACCTCACCGTGGGATGGGAGGGAAGGCTGTAAGGACTGAGAACCAGACATGTCTCATTACCTAGGAAGTCACCTCGTATCCGACATTTGTACCTGGACCTACTAAAAGACCTTAAGCAAATCACTTCATTTTTCTGGGTCTCAGTTTCTTCATCTGCAAAACAAGAGTAAATTCAACAACATCTGTGATGCTTGCTTAGGTCTAAATTTCTCTACAGTTTTCTCTAAGAATCTTACCTCTATTTTGACCACTTCTCTCTAATTATATGGGGTAAAATGTAGTTTCCAATTAAAGGAGCTTTAGGCACAAGTGAGGTGGGTAAGGGAGGTTTTTCATGGTTGGGGACCTCTGGAATCACAGCACCTGCATAGTCATCAAACTATAGGTACCTGAGGGTCATCCTCCCAAATTTTGTATTTGGGAACAAGCTCATGATTCTAAACCCATGGGTTAATTTCTTTATTTGGCTTGTAGAGTAGCCCTGGTTTTATCAAACAGAGGTCATGTGACCCCAATGATCGGGATAGTTTAGTGGCTGTGGAGCACTGTGATAATTACATTAATTTAAACTTTTTTTGACCTCAAGATTTCAAACGTCATGGCTCTAAAAATGGAATTTCCACTGAGCTCTTTTAACATCATTTATTCTTTGTCTCCTTAGCAGACCTGGTATCTCTTCATACAGAGTACATCTTGCATAATGGCTTGAATATCTTTTGAATTCAAAGACCTTTAAAATGGAGTTGTGTAAGGAGAAACACGAATGTGTGAAATGGCATGGATGAGGTTGTATGATACTAAAGAATCAGTAACAACAGATTTATTTGTGTCAGAGGTATAGAACAGGTAGCATTTGTAGGCTCTAAAATAGGGGACAAAGAAGTCAGCCAGTGAGATAGCACCAGCTTCTCACCAGATTAAAATGTAAAAGCAGGACTGGATGCAGTGGCTCATGCCTGTAATCCCAGCACTTTGAAAGGGCAAGGCAGGAGGATTCCCTGAGCCCTGAAGTTCGAGACCAGCCTAGGCAATATTGCAAGAGCCTCATCTCTTAAAAAATAAGTAAATAAACATTGTAAAAGGAGGTGCTACTTATGCATCTCATGTGTTTTTTGTTCTCAAATCAAGTACTTTCATGTCTAACACATGGCTGAGTGAATATAGCACTTGGTGAGGTGAGAAAGAAATTGGTAGTCACGTCTTCAAAGCGTTTTCATTTGAACACTCACTAGGTTTCTGCCTCCTGTACTTCCACCTGTGAGCTTGTTTTCGGAGATGCTGGCTGCATCGTTTTCCATCGCTGTGGTGGCTTATGCTATTGCAGTGTCGGTGGGAAAAGTCTATGCCACCAAGTATGATTACACCATCGATGGGAACCAGGTACGGTCACCCTATAGCTGAACTGGTTTTATAGGGCCAAAGGCAAGAAGAAAAAAAAAAGCAGGAAAGATTTTGGTGTCAGCTAAAGAAGGGATTGGATTCTTTTACCAGTCCTGATTGGGCTGGTTTTCCTCTTGTGCTTGTTAACTAGAAATTCTTTTGAAATAGGCATGCTACATCATTCTGCTTCTTTAATAAATAAGTTGAAGTCACTCTTCTTTTAAAAGAGCTAGTTTGGTCAGGTCATAAATAACATTCAAAGTTAACATATTAGGTCAGAATAACAATTCTTCATGCAACCCAGAATCTCCTGGTAGTTATTTTTAATGGCAGTTCTCATATGACAAAACACTGCAACAAACGTCATTATTACTACTTGCGACCACTTTAAATTGAGGCGATTCACTGTGCAATTAATATATACTGGCAACTTTTGTTGGCATATGACACACTGCTAGGTGAGCTGATTTCAAACTGCTTATAGATCTGCAAATTTTGAATGAATATTTCTGAAAACACAGCATGGTAAGCACAGCAGCTAAATGATTAGTAATCAAGTAGAGCAATAGCCCTGCTAGTCATGATATGTGGCATAGCAAATATTCACCCACAGGAAAACACTTTCTGTGAGAGCTGCAGAAATGCCACTCACCAGGCAGGGGAAAAGCATTTTAACCAAGGATCGGTTACTATTTTCTCATCAACCTTACCAACTATTGAGAGCAGTTAGGCCTCTGTTAGGTAGCAGGGAATCCCAAACTCCTGACAGCTTACAAGGCCGCCAAGTATCTGTAAAGATAAAAATTAAATTGGACCACCAGGCAGGGTGGGTTTAGGAGTTTGCTTTCTTAAAGTACTTCCTTAAATACTCTGTGGAGGTCCTGCAAAGATTCTATTTGTGGCATCACTGTCATCCAGTCTCTCCCTTAGGAATTCATTGCCTTTGGGATCAGCAATATCTTCTCAGGATTCTTCTCTTGTTTTGTGGCCACCACTGCACTGTCCCGCACTGCTGTCCAGGAGAGCACCGGAGGAAAGACACAGGTATGGAACAACAGCTTGGTGATATCTGTCTCAGAGAACTAGTCAGGGGTGGAATGGTAGCTCAGAAAGGCTTGCACAAGAACTAAGTGGTACGGTCAGCCGTTAGGACTTGGGCTTCCTGATCTGACTCATGTTGGGTCTATTCATCTTCTTGTCCCACTCCCGCAACTAAAATGTCTTAAATAAACAACATTTGTGGCTGCCTGATACAGCATTTCTCAGATTCCTTGGTGTCAGTGGCATATAACTACAACTTAGCTGTTTTTCATGTCAATAACAAGGAATCGATAATGAAGAATGCTGATTTTTATTAATTTGTTACGTGGGGAGACATGGGGCCTAGTAAAAGCACTTCATGACTTTATGAGTTATATTTTCAGGAAAGTGAAAAGCTCTATTCACATTTCCTTTACAAGGAGCAGGAACCTCCCCCAGAGGCCTTTGGCCCCACAGAACAACAGTTTGCTAGCCAAGAATATTTTTATTACAATATTTTTGGCATTTCTTCCTGAGTAAGGTTTCTGTTCTTGAAGTTCTGAATGTGGGATTACTCTTCCCTTTTAATTGTGGTATTCAGTTGTTGCCTTTACAAGGAGGACAACCCCCCCCCCAGAATCCCAGTTAATCTCTGGATAATCCCTCCTTCAGCCTCCAGAAAGCTCAGAAGCCATTCTCAAAGCCACCCTTTCCAGCCGGATATGGAGTCAGATAAGCCAAACCAAGGGGACAAGGGCAAGGGACAGACTCAGGAAATGTTTCTGTCAGTTCTACCTTGAGGGTTTTATTCTCCCAACACAGAAAGAATTATTATTTGGGAGTAAAAAGTACATTGAGGACTGGGCGTGGTGGCTCATGCCTGTAATCCAAACAATTTGGGAGTCCAAGGTGGGAGGATCGCTTGAGCTCAGGAGTTCAAACTAGCCCGGGCAACATAGTGAGACCTCATCTCTGTATTAAAAAAAAAAACAATTTTAAAAAAGAAGAACAAACCCAAACTAAATAGTGTGAAACACACACACACACACACACACACACACACACACAGTCTTCAAATTGGTTTTATTAAAGTAGAGACACTTACAAATAAGAGAGAGAATAGCTGAGACAACCAATCACCCCAACAGTGGCTTGCCCGAGGAGAACTTTAACTGTCCCCATTGTACATGTGATACTCCTTTCCTATGTATAAGGAATCTTGTGACACATTTGGAAGAATTGGCCTTTTCCCAATTTCTTGGCTCCTTTTGAATAAAAATGTATTTACTTTTCACCATTTTTCTTTAAAAAATTTTTTTGCAAATATTTCCAACTCTGAAGGAGCAGGTAAAATAATACAACCTATGCCAGGAGGCTTAACCAGAGAGCTGTGGTCAAGGGGAAGAAAAGGTCATAGCTAATTTCCAAAACTGTGCCCACTTCAAGCTACAGCTGTCGGCAGCAGGCATCTCTTCTGCTTTCATTTGAGATGGAGCATTGACAGGCTCTCCAGAGCATATGGTCTTCAGCGAGGGCAAGCAAATCCCAAACTGCTGATGTCCATTCTGCTGCTACCTTCAGGCTCAAATGAGGCATGGACTGGCCGTCCTGGGAAGAATGCCCATGTAAAGTTACCTCCTTGGCACAGGGCTTGGGGGATAATGGTGTTCTGGTAAGCCAATACCTTCTACCACACACTGGTGTGTATTATATTTAGGAATGAAGGATGCCAGGATTTCAGCACTGAAGAATGAAACAAGTACAGAAATGCCTTGATATTTAATTACTGAAATGTATACTAAGTTCTGGGGTTAAAAGTCTAAGTGCCTGGACTGAAATCCAGAGACTTGTGGCCAAATAAACTGGCAGGTCTTCTCTTGTGTGGCTTTTCATGTTTTTCCTTATGTTAGAGCCTCAGTAACAGTGTCTGTAAAATGGGAATGATAATTGTATCCATCTCATAGGGATAGTGTGAGGATTAAATAAGAAAATGGGAAGTCCTAGCACATACTTGTAAATGCTTATTTTTCCAGCTCTCAAGGCAGGAATAACATCTTCGGATCTAAGATACATATACTGTGACCCAACCTAGGCAACAGAGCAAGACCCTATCTCTACAAAAACAAAAAACAAAAAACAAACTAATGGTGGCACATGTCTGTAGTCTCAGCTACTCGGGAGACTGAGGCAGGAGTTCAAGGCTGCAGTGAGCTATGATCACACCACTGTACTCCAACCTGGAGGCCAGTGAAACCCTCATATAGGTATACATATATAAAGCTCACTGAGATACTGGAAACCTGGAGATGACACAGTGATACCCCAATATATATATATAAATCATCGGGTTACTGGGAGCCTGGAGGTATACTGGCAGAAAGAGCATAGAAAAGGGAGCCAGAGTCGGGCTCGGTGGCTCAGCCTATAATCCCACGCCTTTGGGAGACTGAGGTGAGTGGATTGCCTGAGCCCGCAGGTTCGAGAC